AGTTACTTCGCTACGTTAAAATATATTATAATAAACAAATTGAATTAAAAAAAATACACAAACAAGAACTTTTAAATAGTTAATTTATTGATATATTTTTTGCAAATTTTATATGATATTTTTAAATTTATATTTTATTCAAAAATAGAAACATTATTGTTTTTTCAAAACCACATAAAATCGTATTATATCGACATGGATAAAAAATAAAACAAAACATTGAAATGGAAATGTGTCTCGATGCATTGCACGAGTACCCTTTTAGTTATATTATAAACGATTTGACAAAAATTCTTAAAAACCATTTTTTATGCACGAATTACTGTATGTTGATGCATATTACTTAAAATTCAAGATTACAAGTAAATTTTRMATAAGTACAACTTATTAAAGCTCCATATTTGAATTCGTGTAACTAACTGCAGATAAACATAATCAAATACAAAATAAACATCACATTTTAAATATAAAAAATCTAAATATAAGTAGGATAATCATTGAGTTTTAACAGAATACTTAAGTATTATCTTTATAAAAAAATTATTATTAAACTTAAATTAAATTATTTCGTTATTAAATCTAAATTAAATTATAATAGAAAAAATTTGAATTTAAGAAATTACATAAAAAAACAAAAACTTTTAATAGTTAATTTGATATTAATATCAATATATATATTTTTCAAATTTTTATAATATTTTCAAATTTATATTTTATTTAAAAATAAAAACATCATCGCTTTCTCAAAACCATATAAAACCGTATTATATCGACATAAAAAAAAATAAACCAAAACATTGAAATCGAGATGTGTTTCGATGTATTGCACGAGTCACGAGTACCTTCTAGTTTATATATAACAAATGAACTTCCAATTCGGTTTAAATACTTAAGCTCGACTGATAATCCAAATACTGTTAGACCAAATGCCTTTTTTACGAGTCTCTAATTCTTTTCCTCGGAGACCATGACTGGTTAAAGAGAGACAAAAACGGTTCAAGCATTTTAAAGGTCCGAACCGATCCAACATAACCGACCGGTTAACCGATTTCCGCATTTTCGACCACATCGACACACAAAGTTCCAAGTTTCTAAACCGAAACGCCAACCGCTTTCAACAAAACGACAACTACAACACAATGAAACGACAATCACGACCTAGTCAACACTTCCACTGTTGGTTCATCAATGGTACATCAACAACTAATACATAACCAGATCCCAAATGTACATCTTTCAATGCACGATTTTCAAGTCGTCAAAGCACTAAAAGGTTACAAATTGGAGGTCCACCCACCGTAGGGTGGTCCTCTTCTCCTACTAAAGTGAAAACCCTAAAAAAACAATCAGTAAAAAGTACAAACCCTAACCTCATTTTGATCACTGCTATTCACAAACCGTCATTCGGTAATTCGGGTGTCTCATTCCGCTTCATGATTCAAGCCCTTTTCGGCAATTTCGATATCGTTATCATCGTGGGATGGATTCAGGTCGTTTTCGGCTTTACGACCAATGTCGTCCTCTTGAAGTGGCTTGTCGTTATTTGATTCAGGTGGGTCGTTAGAAGCAGGGGTTTCTTTGGACGAAATTGGCAAACTTTCGGGTTTGGTTTCATCTACATTTGGGCCTGTATCTGCAGGTATCAATGAATGGATGTTGGGTTTCGTTTCGAGATCGACCCAATGGTCTCCCACCCAATCTTTCGAAACTCTAATGTTCTTTCTGTGTAGTTCAAGAAACAAAGTTTCGCCTGTTGTCAACAAAAAACGGAAGAAAATATCGGGTCAGATACGGCATAGAGGATCAAGATTCACCTGGGGGAAACACGACGCTATATAAGGCTAAAGCTATCATGATTTGGCTCGAGAAGCATAGAGAACCAAGATTCAACTGTGACAATGTGACGGAATGCAAAGCTCGAATCTTTGGCTATGTTTGGCAAACTGGCTGATAAGTTATCCAAACTAGTTGTTCACTGGTAAGCTAGCCGTTAGCTGAAAAGCTAGCCAAACTGAGTTGTTGGCCGGAAAGCCGGTTGCCGGCCGGAAAGCTAGCCGTTGGCTAATAAGCTAGATGACAATGTAAAACGACCTAAAAGAACATGCTGAAAAACTAACTGGAAAAATATAAGGGTCATATTGGAAGAAAAAGAAGCTCTACAAAAATCTAGTTTATGGCTAACCAAACGGGGCTTATTCAACAAGCTCAAAAACTAAGCTACGGTCGCAAACACTATGTTATACGAAGTTCAAGTTATCAAGATAGAAATGGGTCAAATCATTACGGTAATAAAGCTAAAGTTTTCTTTTTATCATCGGGATCAAAGAACTTACTGGGAACGTAAACGCGAACATTTCCATCCCCAGATTCATCACTGATTCCAGTTACCACTCCCTCCCACCAGCCGTCACTCCACCACGCATCCACCGGGGAACCGACCTCAAAAGCAACGTTTGTTTCGTTTTCCAAATGTGCTGGCCGCAGAGTTGGCCGACCCGAGTATCTCATCCCAAGTTTATCTGGCATGGCCAATCGGAGAGCCGAAACCCATTCCTTAAAAAGGAAAAACAAGTCAAAAATCAGTCAAAACCAAACGTACAGGGTAAATCTAGTCGGGTCTCGGAGGGGTAGGATGTAGGCAGACTTTACCTCTACCCCAAGGGGTAAAAAGGTCATTTGAGTTGATGAAAATATCAAAATTCCCGAAAAAATAGAACTTCATACCTCAAGATTACCACTTCCGTCTTCATCCTTCAAATCATCGTATTGGACTTCTAATCGTTTCCGAGTAACCTGCAATACCGTACATCTAAACCAACATCCCCGAATCCCGCTATCTTGGCACAACAACTCTATCTTTTCGTTAGCCTTGAAAAAAGGCGTATATAAAGCTTGGTTCTTCACGTACTTCGGGATGAGCCTCCTTCTCAGCATCTCATACTTCAAGTTCATGCACGATGGATCATATGGCGGCACCACCACCTGCCGCCCTCTAGAACTTCTCGGTCTTTTCACTCCCACCTTAACATTATCTCCCGGGCTATGTTCTTCATCTTCAATATATTCGGTATCCAGAATAGAAAAAATCGGCTGGTCAAAATATCCACACAATTTACTCAATTTGAACGGCTTCACACGATTGTTCTTAAATTGTCTCAAGCAAAGATGAACTCGAGTTAATAGATCTTCGGGAAGTACAGATACGCATTTCTCGTAATGTTCACGAGTCAAGACGATGGCCGGGCCATCCACACACTCGACACTTATGACTTGTGCGTAAGGTGTAATGAAAACCTCTTTCGGGTGAGGATTTCGAAGGGTAACGACAACTTGTACTTCTTGATTGTGGTGAAACCATCTCACTTTGACCTTCTTTTGACCCTTTCTATCTTCATACATATCTTCGAGATATGCAAGATGACGTTTTTCCTCTTCGGCCATAACAAAAACAAATGATTGTACCTATAAAAGGATGCAACGATGAAGGTTGGTTTCCATCAAAAGTGTCTGTTCGAACAGATCAGAAACAGAGGAAACAAACAAATACACATACATACTTCACACACACACACACATATAGAGAGAGAGTCGGGACCCAAACCCTATATATACATGCATATATATAGGTGCCTTCACCTTCTCACGAAAAGGGGTTGTTCTCAGCAGGAACCCAAATCCTATACACACACATATATAGGGGCCGGGTCCGTTAGGAACCTGAAATTGATTAGGAACCAGGGACCGCCAATAGCACGATACGTGTCATATTCATCAGGAATATGGGCGTGTATTCATCATGAATGTGTGATTAATAATGAATAACACCTCCATATTCATCATAAATGAGTTATTCACGATGATATTCTTTCTGAAGAGGGACTTCGTGGATGGTCCCCGGGTTCCTAATCAATTTTGGGTTCCTAACAGCTATAATAAATAGAGAGAGAGCGGGGGGTTCAGGGGAAAAACCCAAAAAATGAAAAACTGAGGAATACCCTCATAACCATTAATCTAGATGGTATGCACATGTGCATACATGTAAATGAAGTTGTTTCTTGGTTTTTATGCACATAAATTACTTGTATGCACATGTGCATATGGTCCAAATGAACGATTGTCAGGGTGTTGCTCAGTTTTTCATTTTTTTACAGTTTTCCTCTGACCTTATATATATATATATATATACTCATATTCACTTTGGTGGTCAAAAAGGTTAATTTTCTATTCACTTTGGTGGTCAAAAAGGTTAATTTTCAGATGAAAATGTGAACATGGGTTGGTTCATTCAGTTTCGCATGGTTCGGTTCGGTCAGATTTGAGCCACCAGCCGGTTTGTTGGTCCAACGGTCGCCATTCCAGTGAACACTTTGACCTCAATATTTTAGCCAACATTATTTCAATCGTAAATTACAAACTTTTTCCAATCAAATTTAAGATCACTCGAGCCAAACAATAGTTTCCATTCAATTAATGCTTGTGCATTTGAGATTTATGAGTTCGACATTTTACTTTTTCAATTATCTTTGCTTAATGTTCTCTATTTAGATTTATTAGTATTAACAATAGTGCCTTATTTACAGAAATAAATATAAATAAACTAAGCATATCATGTACATATACAAATATACAAAATTATTACTCGGTTTAGTTCAAATTGTGCAAGTTTCAGTGACCTAAAAACCCGAAGAATTCCATCAAATCACAAGTAAAAAAAAGATGCTTACCGCTATTGTAATCCCGTTCCGGCAAAAGGCCGGGAAGTGTTTGAGTTGTTTACCGCACGTCCATGCTACACCAGACCACACTATATCCGGCGTCCGTAACTTTAAGTTTCTTGCAAGCCGATTCTGATATGAAGCAGCGACTCCCGGAATGTGATCACTTTTAGGGGATTCTAAATTTCAAAAATGGGAAGATCTTTACTTCATTAGAAAATTCATGAAAGATCTTGCCTTTATTAGAAGAAAATCATACCGTAAAAAAGTAAGACAAAAAAAACGTCGTCATTTTTATTTTAACTGTTATAACCATTCAAAGATTCGGTTGGAAGCTAAATCCCCGGACCCCTCCTTTCTAAAAAGGTCCCCTTCCAAAACATTCCATAAAGTCGTAAACTAGTTTAAAATCCAAGAATCCCATGTAACCAAAGGGCCATTGGCCCAAGAGAACCCGGGTCACCGGTAGAACCCACCCTCCAAGAAGGTCGGGGTTCAACCTCACCAAAGGTGACGAGGGTGCACGAGTATTTGTTGTATATAAATATTATATACTTCAAAACCCCATGTAAAAAATGAGACCATTAAGGTAGATACCGCCATATAAGAATAGTAACTAACAAAAAATTGTGATATTCTCTGGATTCTACGCAGCATTGTTGATATAAAATTTACTTTCAGTGCTAAAAATATGAACTTTTTACACACACACACACATATATATATATAGAGAGAGAGGGAGGTTCGAGAAAAACCCCAAGAAAATGAAAAACTGAGGAACACCCTGGTAACCATTCATCTGTACGATATGTACATGTCCATATAAGTAATTGAAGTTGTTTCTTGGTTTCTATGCACGTGTGCATGTTATGCACATGTGCATACCGGACAAATTGCTTACAGATTACTTATATGTGCATGTGCATCCATCCAGATGAATGTTAAAACCATGGTGTTGCTCAGTTTTTCATTTTATTGTGGTTTTCCCCTGTACCTGACGCTATATATAACTACAACCACAAGATTGTATCTTTCTACTGTTTACTCTTATATATCATATTGGATCAATTCAAATTGAGCAATCTAGAAAACCAACATTTTCCATCAATCAATTGCAGATTACATCTTTAATTGTACGTAATTTGAGAACCAAACTTCTCGGCACTAATATGGCTAACAAGTAAGTCTGCATTAGATATAAAGTTTCAAGCTTTACAGTCTGATAATGGTGGAAATCAAGATACAGCAAATGCAAGAAACTTACTCGAATGTTCGCCTTGCCGATGCTGCTTGGATAACATAGAAGTAAGCCAATTCACCACCTCTCTTCTTGATCTCCATCTATATCCTGCATTGACCGAATTCTCGGCCTCGTTGACTTTCAAGAACTCCTCAGCAACCACGTAAAACATATGCCTAACACTCCGTTCTGTTCCCACAACCGCCAGCACCGATTCTCCGGATATATCTTTCAAGAAATAGTGAACTACCCTCTTACCCCTTTCCTTTGAAACAAATTGCTCTTTCCATTCCACAAAACATTGACCATTTGCAGCCATGTTTGAAAGCAAGAATCAAAATATACCCACTTCAGTTTTTAACCCATTTTAGAACCCTAAAATGAAACCCTAATTTACAGAAGTAACAATGTAACCTAACACCTGTCTAAAAAAAATCTTTAACCAAAAGGGTTATCCTAGAATTCTTACAACCCAACAAAACCCTAATCAAACCCTAGCTGCGACAGACAATGGATTAAAGGCTTATATGAGAGATTTTGGCAAAAGGGTTCACAAGTCAAAAGGCCATTTCATTCAGCTGCCAAGAGAACCCAACAATCTTCCACAATCTTAAAAGATAAAACACCAAATCCTCAACAAATACATACCAAAAGTCTTGATTTCAGCCTCCAGTAGTCAGCAGCTAGGTGTCTGAACCCCCAAAGTCAAGAAATAAGAAGTGGGTATCAGATAAAACTAAGAAAGAACCAATATATTGACTGTTTTCTTGAAGATCTGAGAGTAGTACATCAAGAATTCTTGGCCAGATTACAAAAAAGGTCAATATTTCGAAAACCCTTTTGAGAACTATATATGGGTATCTGATAAGACTAAAGGGCACCGCTTTTGTGGTGGTTGGAGGCGGCGGATGACGGCGGTGGTTGATGTAGGTTCAAGAAACAGTCAAGAAAGGTAAGGCTTTTCTGGGTAAGATAGATATACATATATACACATATAGAGAGAAAAGGGATGAGAGAGATGTGAGGATTAAGCGGATGTAGTAAGAATGGTAAAGTGGGCAGCTAACGGTGGTGGTGGTGGCGGTGGCGGCGGCGGCGGTGGTGAATGAAGAGAGGAGAGACTGGTGGCCGGCCGGTAAGAGAAGAAAGGGGGCAAAAACCATCAAGAAAATATAATATTGTAATGGAGGAGGGTTTTATGTATGGTGCGAATGGTAAGAGGCAAGTTTATTGAGTAATCTTTGTGGGACCCACAAAAATGACTCCCAGCAAATCCGCATTGGATGACCGGGCTACAAGGATGAGTAATTTGGGGATTTTGGATCCATGCTTTGCATACATAATCTTATATACTAGTTCAGTTATCTTATCGGGTGAATATAAAAATATCAATATCTTACTTGATGAAAGGGAATATAAGGATAGAGTGATGACAGTTACTCGGTAAGCACTTACTAGGTTATAAATGTTTGTCATCAATCCATTTTGATGACTGAAAATGTTATCCCGTAAGGTAAATGAGAATGATGACTCTTTTCTAAACGCTTACTCAATTAAGTGTTTGGTAAACAGCCCTGTCTTTTTTGATTTGGCTGTTTTGATTCATGTCTCTCCTTTTTCTTTGGCAATCCCGCCATCAACCCTTATGGCTTAATCTCTCTGTTCTGTTCTGTCTTATCTTGGGTTCTGATACTAATGTAGCATGAGCTACGACCAACAGAAAGGAATAGGAGCCCACATGACTGGACATGCGACGAGGGGGTATGCCTGGTGGCATAAATCCCTTAAAGGTAGAAAAACATTTTATGCAATCAACCATGTGACTTGGGTCGTGCGTCAGTTGTCCCTACTCACAACAGCCTGATCAATTCTTTTTTGCGGTTCCTTTATTCTAGCATTTATCGTTACAGCTTTCATACTGGTTTAGGCTTATTTATTTTGTTTCCTTTAACTGTTATTTAATTGCTTTCCTAGTTGGTTTGGATTTAGGTTTTCTTTTTCTTTTAGCCTATAAATAGGTTTATGTTTTCTCTTTCAATTCATATGATGATTAATAAAATAAACCAAATGGCCTTTGACCTAACGGTATCATAGCATTTGGCCTCCTAAGAGGTCAGAAGTTCAAACCTCACCATAAATGAGGAGGGTGTGTGAATTTATTTGTTGCATTTGCCGTATATAAATATTATATACTTAAAAAAAAACATGGCAGCTCGTATTTAATTATATAACGGTTTTCTCTTATTTCTTTGAGTTTATTGCCTGATAACTCTTTATCCTTTTAAAGTTACGATACTTGTCAACCCATATGAGTTTCATACTACGTCAGTTACACACCCTCCGTTCAGTATCCTAAGCACTAATTTAATTCAGTAGTTATTCATTAATTTTTAAGATACTTATTCATTAATTTTTGGACAAAAATACAATTAAAATGTAATAAAGTTTTGTTTATGGGCGTTTAGAAACGTTTATGAGTAAGAGTCATCATCTTTACTTCAGTTATTGGATAAGATGTCGGCTATCAAAATGACACAGTAAAATGGTATGTGTCTCTTAATGAGTAACCTCTAATTGGGTAAAAGTCTATAACCTTACTCACCTGATAAAATATTTGTCATATGTTATTCTCACCAGTGAGGTAAGCAATACAGTAAGCACTTAGCCGACTAGTGTTTGATAAACGGCCTCTCGGTTCATGTTTAGTGTAACGCTTGATTTTTTATGGGCAAATTGTATGAAAAAGATAACGTACTTTAACCTGATTTATATTTTGGGTAACGTACTTTCAAAACTTCTATTTTGGTACATAAGATGTAAAGTTTTAAACATTTAAGTACTCGAGTAATTAGTTGAAGACTAATTTTAGATTAAAAAAAAAGATTAAAGTCATTAACCACTTCAACAAATAATATTGAGTTTAATATCACATCACTCGTCACATCAACATGATAACAGGTTAATGCTTTTCAACCGGTTACCCGGATACTTAAATGTTTCAAACTCCAACATAAATAATTTTCTAAAACTCTAACGATTTGTTTCTCTAAATTGGAGAGAAGAAAATAAAAAAAAAGGAAGGAAAAGAAAGACAGATAAAATAAAGTAAGGTCGCGTTTGGTTTGAATGAATGAAATAGATTTGGAGGGATTTGCATTTTAAATCCGTTTCAATCTCATGTTTGGTTTGTTGGATTGTTCGGATTTGAAATCTTAGGATTTAATTGAAATCCTTCAAGCATAGGATTTTGAAATCATTAGGGAGCGATCGAGATTTAATAGGATTGTATGCGATAAGGTTTTAAATTTTTTTAAAAACATTTGTTTTGTAATAATCAATTAATAAAAATGTAATTCAATTATTTTTATACTTTTGTTTATAAATTATTTATAAACAATGAAGTCCTACAAACCAAACACACCAATAATTTCAAATCCCTTCATGAAATCCAAATCCAAAACATTTAGGAGAAAACTTATCAATATTTTACCAAAGGGCCTTTGGCCTAGCGGTATCGTAGCCCTTGGCCTTCTAGGAGGTCAGGGGTTCAAACCTCACCATAGGTGAGGAAGATGTGTGAGTTTATTTGTTGCATTTGCCGTATATAAATATTATATACTTTTAAAAAAAATTATCAACGAGCTCTTAAAAAAGTTCCGAGAACACGATTTTTGTCACTTTCCTCCCATTTCCCTCCATACCAGTCGTAAAAAAGGTTTCGGGAACACAGAGTAAAGAGATGAGATATAAATGAGTTTTATTTATTTATTTCACCAACGAGGGCTGAATTAATATCATTTTATATAAATGAGTTTTTTTTATTTATTCCACCAACAAGAGTTGAATTAATATCATTTTATAATAAAGTTTTAAAAAAATGTACTGGGACCATAAAATTATAGAACATTTAAACAATATAATCAATAATGAGATATCTAAAATAAAGAATCTGTTGAAGTTGAATGTAATTTATTTTGACTTTTGATTATTTACTTAAATAAATTATAAAAAATCCGTTGTGGATGCTCTTAAGCAAGTTGCGCAATGCCAATGTGGACCTCTTATATTAACTTACACGACTTGCATAATGCCCGTTTTTCTTCGTTTTTTTTAATCCAAAAGTGGATTATGTAATTTACATAATTTATAGATAAATCCGATCAATGGGTATAAAAATTGGCTATAAAATAAATATAAAAAGTTTGATAGACTATTTCGGTCAATTTCTCTTTATTTTATTGATAAAAAGCATGTATAAAATATGAAGTATACAATACAAATTCAGGGTCTGTTTGGCTCGTGCTGGAAAATGAAAATAAGAATGAAAATGAAAATGACAGTGAATAATAAATGGGAATGAATTTTCATTCCCCCTAGTTTAGTCATGGGAATAGGCTCCGATCCGTCGGGAAACTCGGTCCACCCGTCCCCGTCGAGGACGGGAGTTCCCCACTAAATAAAGGATGGGAACGGGAACGGGGATCCCCTTTTGTCTCAAACTGGGGATGAGCACGGGGACGGGTATGGTATTCCCCGCCCTCCCCCGTACTCGTACCTGTTATATATTAATTAATAAATTATATATATATATATATATATTATATGCATATTATTTATTTCATTAAAGCGGTAGTTCATAATTTTTTATTTTCTACCTAGTTTTATAATCTAAAATTGTTATTTTTTGGATGTTAATGTGTAATATTTTGGATGCCAAGTCAAAATGCAATTACTGGATAAGTTTTGTATATTACTCAATATCTTTTGATATACGAGACTTTTAAGTTTTTTTAAATTTAATTGAATATTTTTTGGTTTTAGGTTATTAGTTCTTATATGATGTTGTGGGTTTTTTGTATTAAATTAAATTTATTTTCGTTTTAGGTTTATTGAAAATGTAAAAAGATTTAAAAACATATATGGCCTTTCACATATTTAATTTAAAGTAACTTATATAAACGGGAAAAAAATCCCGTTTCCCTGTTAGGGATATGGATAGAGATGAGGATGTGATTATATTTCTCGGCGGAGATAAGGACAAAGATAGAGATAAGTAATCAGGGACGGGGATTAAGGTCCTGCCCCAGTTTAACCAAAAATAAAATTTTGGGATTCTTTGGGAATGAGCCAATTCTATATTTCTATTATAAAAAATCAAACATTTTTTTTTTATTTTCATTACCATTAATTACTACTGTCAAAGACCTTCCAGCCTAGTGGTAAAGGCTTGAGTATGACATAGTCATGAACCCGAGTTCGAGCCCGGGGAAGGAAGTGTTGACGACATTTAAGTGGAGCCATGTTTAGCCTTCAAAATTGCCGGGGATTAGTCGGGCTTTGCCCCGGACACCCTTAAAAAAAAAAAAAAAATTACTACTTGCTTAATACCTCTATTAATCCTTGCTTGTGATTACATTAATTAAATAATAATAAACTATCATAGTCCACTTGTTTGAATTTCAGTGTCGTATCTACCGGATTCAGTAGACCCGAAAAGCGAACAGATTTGCTTCTTCGATCCATCTCCCATCAAACCCTCATCTCCATTTCTGTATGTATCGTTTCAGCAAGCTCATCGATGATTCAGTAAAAGCTGCGAAGAACTTAAAGGCTTCAATTTAATCGTTTCAACAGTATCAGATTTCAACAAGTCTTGATTATCCTCTTAACATTTTTCATCAGACGACAATGGCGGGAATAGCTTTGCTTATGGATCTATTGAAGAAAAATCCAAGCGTCAATGGCCAAACCCTACATTCTACCGGTTTATACTCGGCCACGCTTGCTGCCTCCTCCGCCGCTGCTTATGTCGCCGCCAATACCCCTTTTGCGTCTAGGGCTTTATTCGGGTAATTCATATTATCATTCCCTGTTTCATTGTTTGTGCTTTATTCGTCTATATAAGATCTACAGTTTTGATTATTGTTATTTATTTTGCTCTGTTCAGTGGACGTTGACAGATTAATTGTGTACGGATAAAATCTTACTTAGCTCCGTTTTTCATTATTTGAATGGGGATTTATGGGATTTTGAGGGTTGTTTGATTCCGGGGATTTATGTTCTTGCTAATTTGGGGATTATAGATTTCATTTTGTAATTGATATGATTAGAACCAAGAACTATTCCAGTTTGTTTCTCAAGATACTAATGATTCATCATATCGAAAAACAGTATTGGTGGAAGAAGAGTTGCTTATTGTGATGCTGCTGCTGTCCCTCCTCTTATGACCGAAGATTATCTTAGTAGTTTAAGGACTGCATCTGAATCAATCTTTCGGCACGATACTCTGAACTACAGGACTAAAGAGTATTCCATTGAGCTAAAACCGTTGTTCTCAGCTTTTCAGCCGAGATCATTTGCATTGACATCATTGAGGTCTTTTCTATTGTTTTATTTGCCACTTTTGGCGCCTCACGTGGAAGACGATGACAGTGATGACTTCCTACCGGACTCTTCAGATGATCATCATGTGGACCTGGTTGTACCCTTCAAGAAATCAGTAAAGCAAATCCTTCGCGAAGTAAGTATGAAATTGTTTGTACATGTTGAATACACCAGTCATGTCTGTCTTTATGGGTCTCGTATTTTGGCCCCGGTAAAGCAGTTTGTGTTGCGGGCTTTTTTTTTTCATCTCGACTAGATGGTGTACACTAATACGAACTGATGGAATTGAATTAAAAGAATGAAAGCAAAATCACTCCAATGGCATTCGAGAGGCCATGGTCTCTCCGAGAGCAAAGCTCAAAGCACAATTGACATGAAAAACAGAATGCCTAACCGAAAGTGAACCCCCCCACCCAACAAAAGGAATTCCCGCACATTATTGAAAAAGTAAAAACCCAAAACAGCCCCTGGGCCTTATTCTAAACAGCACCTACTAGAATAAAAGGAAAACCCACTCATTTGTTTCTTCTTTTGTACGTGAATCTCAACGGAGGCGTACAATACTTCCCCCCAAAGAAAGCACCTTGTTCTCAAGGTGGTTATCAGGAAATCGCTGCAGCAAGGGGGTCCAATAGTTCCCAAGAAGATTCAAAATCTGATAAACCCTTCCATTTAACTAAGACTTCCAACTGCTCTGGATCCCTATTTGGCACTAAACACACATCCATCAAGTCCTCCGGTTCTGCTTGTAACGCCATGTCATCCGAAATTTGCGAGGGAATGTCTTTAGCAGACACGCAACTTCCCATAGCTAGCCTTGGTTGCAATACGTGAAAAACTCGTTGGATTTTTACTCCATAGCTGGCCTATCTTTTCTGAAATTCTGTAAAGACCATAAAATCTTGCTAACAACTTTGGGTTATTCCCCTTAATCAACGACTTTTGACGATAAGGGCGCAATTTTAGAAAAAACCCAATCTCCCACAACAAACTGAATTTCTTTGAGTTGTAAATCTTTTTGTTGTTTTATTCTTCATTGGTCCTTCAAGAGGTGCATTCTAACTTCATCCCAAGTCTCATCCCTGGTCATCAATTCATGTTCCACTGATTGTAAGTTCCAAGCTGCTGTTCTATATCCTAATAACGGAGGAGCGTCCCTTTCATAAAGCACTTTAAAGGGGGAACATTTTAGGGACGTATGATAGGACGTATTATAGCACAATTCGGCCCATGCCAACCGCTGACTCACTGATTTGGTCTGTTCGAAACCCAACACCGCAAGTATTGTTCCAAGCATTTGTTGACCACTTCGGTCTCACCATCGGACCGAGGATGGTAAGCAGTGCTCTAATTCAACTTAGAACCTTGCAACTTAAAGAGCTCTCTCTAGAACCCACCGAGAAATACCTTATCTCGATCAGAAACTATGGTTTGTGGGATACCATGTAGCTGAATGATCTTCTTAACAAAAACATCGGCTATCGATTGAGCGTCGAAAGGATGTTTGAGACCGATGAATTGGACATCTTTACTAAAACGATCGACCACTACCAGAATCGTACTCATTCCATTACACCGTAGTATCCCTTTATTGAAATCCATTGATATCTCTTCCCATATCGTAGTAGGAAGAGCCAATGGTTGTAACAAACCCGCTGGAGACCCACTGAGTTTCTTGTTCCTTTGACAAACCTCGCATTTCTTTACCGAGTCAACGATGTCTTTCCTCATTCCGACCTAGAAAACTTCAGGTGTGATACGCTGATAAGCGCGATCCTCTCCACCATGGCCACCAATCAGTGAACTATGGAATTCCTCAAACAACAGTGGGATCAACTTTGATTTTCCTCGGTAGAACCAATCGCCCTTTGTATAGCAATAAATCTTGTCTAAGTTCGAATCCTTTATGGGCTGATGCATCAATTAACATATTAGATTTGATTTTTTTTTGAAAGATCATCCTCGTCAATCTCTTGTTTTAAGCTATCCCATTGTCTCCATTGAGGGCCACCCATGCTTGAGCACTCGATCACCTCTTTCTTTCGAGACAGAGCATCAACTGCCTGATTAGCACTACCCGGTTGATACGCTATTGAAAAATCGTAACCCAACAGTTTACTAACCCATTTGTGATACTCTGGTTCGACTACTAGTTGTTCCGGCAAGAATCGTAGACTTTGCTGATCACTACGAACGGTAAAATGTCTACCGAGCAAGTATGGCCTCCACTTTCGAACGGCGAATACAATCGCCATCAATTCCTTTTTGTAAACGGACTTTTGCTTGGCTTGAGGTCCCAAAGCTTGGCTGAAATAAGAGATCGACTGCTCATTCTGCATCAGCACAACCCCCAATCCATAGCCCGAGGCATCCGTCTTAATAACGAAATCTGACGAGAAGTTGGGCAATTTTAGAACCGGGGCCGTCGACAATAACTTCTTCAATTTTGCAAAAGCACACTGTGCCGCATCTGTCCACTGAAAGTGGTTCTTTTTGAGCAAATCCGTGAGAGGAGCGGCCACCATTCCATACCCTCTTATAAACTTCCGGTAATAGTTGGATATGCCCAAAAATCCCTGTAACTCTGTGACCATCGTGGGGGCTTTCCAATCAACTATGGCTTTGATTTTGAAGCCATCAACCTCCACTCCTCACCCGAAATAACGTGGCCCAAATAACCTAGCTTGTCCCGACCGAACTCCCACTTCTTTCTGTTAGCGTAAAGGTTATGTTGAGATAGAATGTCCAGAACCACTCTAAGGTGTTCTATATGTTCATCAATGGATTTGCTATAAACCAAGATGTTGTCAAAAAACACCAAAACAAATTTCCGTAATACGTCGTTGAATACCTTGTTCATCAGGTTTTGAAATGTGGCTGGTGCGTTGACCAACCCGAAAGGCATTACGAGAAATTCATAATGCCCTTGATGAGTATGAAACGCCGTCTTCTGAACGTCCCCTTCTTCCATTCTGATTTGGTGATAACCGGATTTCAAATCCAGTTTCGAGAATACCTGGGCATCATGGAGCTCGTCCAACAGCTCATCTATGATGGGAAATGGGAACTTATCGACCACCGTGGCTTTATTTAGTGCTTTGTAATCTATACAGAACCTCCAGCTTCTGTCTTTTTTTTTTCACCAGCAGAACTGGGCTTGAAAAAGGGCTCGAGCTAGGCCGAATAACCCCCGCATCCAACATTTCTTTTACCAACTTTTTGATCTCATCCTTTTGGTAGTTGGGATATCCATACAGGCGTACATTCACAGGTTCTGTTCCCTCCTTTAAGATAATCCCATGTTCTCTTCCACGAATCGAAGGTAGACCTTGAGGCATGTTGAAGACTCGATCAAACTCCTTCAATAACGGCTTTAGCACCGAATCTTCTTCTTTTCCCGGCTCATCTCCAGCTCCACACGATCCTAACTCCACCAAAACACCATGTCCTTCTTGGATCACTTTTTCCATGGTTTTAAGTGACTTTAGATCTGCCCAAAGCCGGATCTCTTTTCAACGACACCGATTTACCACCGATTGTGAATGGTATGATATGATGCTTCCAATTTATGTAAGTGGCTCCGAGTGACTCTAACCATTGCATCCCCAATATCACATCACTATTTCCCAATTGTATGGGTAAGAAATCTTCTACAACGTCCAATCCTTGTATCATGAGTGTCACGTGCCTGCAAACGCCTTCTCCTTGTATCGTTTTCCCAGTTCCCATCATGATCGTATACTCTCTCATATTCTCTATTTTCAAATTCAGTTTCCCAATTCCCAACCACTTCCTTTGAAATAAGATTGTGCGTGGCCCCATTGTCGATGAGGACTATCACTTTTTGCTCATCAACGATCCCCTCCATTTTCATCGTTTTAGGATTTGTTAATCCTACCACGGAATTCAGATGTACTTCCACCTTCTTACCTAAGTTGACAACATCGACCGTATTCAGAGATTTCTCTTCAGTTTCGGATCCTTCCTCCTCATTTGTGTCTTCCTGTACGAGAATGACACTCAACTCCTTCTTACATCTGTGCCCTGGCAAATACTTTTCATCGCAACGATAACAGAGGCCCAGGGCTCGTTTCTGTTGGACTTCCTGGTCAGACAATCTTCTAAACTCGGATCCTGATATTGCTGACGAATTGGACAACTCTACCAATTGAGTAGACGTGTTACGAGCCTCCGATCCCACACTCGAGCTCTTCCTATTAGAGATTGGAATTCGATTCCTGCTCAACAATTTATTCTTAACCTCAATTTTCAATGCCATCTCCATCGCATCACTTAATGGTATTGGATTCATCAAGTGAACCTTCGCTTTGATCACGTTTTCTAAGCCATTAATGAACTGGCTTAAGAAAACCTTCTTCGGTATTCCATCTAGTGGAGCAGCGAACTCCACAAATTTGCGATGATACTCATTGATGGTTCCCTTCTGTTTAATCGCCAGAAATTGCTCACATAATGATCCGGCCGCCAGCGATCTGAATTGACGCAGCATACGCTTCAAATCTTCCCACCTAGTGATCGGGTGTTGCTTGTGTTCCCACTGGAACCATCTTAGGGCATCTCCTTCGAAGGCAATAAATGACACATCTATTTGTTCTTCCTGATTCAAACAATTCAACGAAAAGTATCATTCGACTATGAGAATCCATCCGTCTGGATCGATCCCATCGAACGCAGGTATCTCGAGTTTTCTTCTTTTCACGGTTAAAAAACGATTATGATCATATCCTTACTTCTCTTTCTTTCTCCCATTCGATCCCGACGAATCTTCACCCTTGGAAATTGGAATTGAATTCAACTTGTTACCTTGGCCTGTTGCTTCAAAATTTTCTCCATCTGCTCAATAATCGTCCACATCCCCTTTTCTATTGATCCAACGCTGCACTCCGGATCCTCCACTCTTGTTGCCACACTACGGGTCGTCATCTTAGAAACTTTGTTGCTCTGATACCAATTTGGCGTACACTAATACGAACTGATGGAATTGAATAAAAAGTATGAAAGCAAAATCACTCCAAGGGAATTCGAGAGGCCATGGTCTCTCCCAGAGCAAAGCTCAAATCACAATTGACACGAAAAACAGAATGCCCAACCGAAAGTGCACCCCCACCCAACAAAAGGAATTCCCGCACATTATTGAAAAAGTAAAAACCCACAACATCCCCTGGGCTTTTTTCTAAACAGCACCTACTAGAATAAAAGAAAAACCCATTCATTTGTTTCTTCTTTTGTACGTGAACCTTAACGGAGGTGTACCACTAGACAGCCAAAAGGAGTATCTTTTTGGATGTTTTCAGGAGTTCACTAAGGACTGTCAAGAGAACTTGTGAAAATTTGGATTTTGTGGCAGAGTTCTTTGTTACCTTGAAGGAATATATAGGAGAGAGTAGTGTTAAACTTGACATAACTATTATTTGGGTATTTCTACGGACAAGTAAATTGTTTTTGAATGCCTTATAATTGACATTTGACAAACATATTTATATCCCTTTACTAGGTTGAAGGTTATATTTGACTTGACACATAGTGCAATGAGAATATGAGATCACAAGTGTCTGACTATTAGGCAAACATCTAAAATGTCTCTCGATAAGGACTAAGTAGATAATTCTTGTAGACCAAAATGTATTGCCGATTTTAAATGACTATTAATGGATAATAATAAGGTAAAGTTCGAACAAGATATTACACAAAAGGGAAATGTTGCTTTTAGTTCGGACAACCACGTGGGACCAATCGGTTGTTGTGTTTATTTTGGGACATAAGGGGTATATACGATATGGAATTTATTTATCAGGTGATGTAGAAGTTACAGCAAGTGGAAATATTTAGCATCATGGATGTATTTGAAATTGATTGTTGGAAGACTCTTTGTGCTGGACTTGACCCTTATGTTTTATTTGTTTATGTCATTTCAACCATTTCATGTTATAGGTTCTACTCACTGAAGTGAGGATATTTGAAGGAGGATGAAGATAGGACCATCATATGGGTAACAGGGAATCTAGGAAATCAAATTTTTTAAGATTCTTAGACCAGTTATAAGCTTCATCACATCATAGGTGTATCATGCATCTTGTATGGAGGAACTGGAGTTTGTTAAACTACTTAGACCAATTAATAGCTTCATTGCATCATACGTGTATTAAGCTTCCTATATAGACTAGCTTTGCAATGATCTTAATTCTGACTTATTGAATTGCTTCCAATTTTCTCAAATGGTTAGCAGTAGGCTGATATTTTTTTTTCTCAGACTAGTGTTGTTACTACCAGACGGATTCTGGAACGACTTGCTGTTCACCATTTCTCTCAGCGTGCGGCATGGAAGCTTCTTAAAGGTACATGCATCCCTTTACTGCCACAGACCAACTTCATATAATCTAATTGAGTAACCAATTTTTTTTGTTCTTGCTAGATGTCCCAAAGTCCGCAGTGCGCAAAGCTAACAGAGGGATGCCAATATTTACTTACTTTTTTTGTGTCAGCAGAACGACATTTAGAGGTTAGTTATGTACATTTCTTTTCAGTGCTTTGAACATTATGAGAAAAAACATACACTTATCTGAAGATACTTTATGTGATCATTTTAACATTATGACAAGTTATTTTGTAAATAATTAAAATGAATAGTGCTCATTTACTTGAAAGAAAATTAAATATTGATTCCTATGATATTATGATAAAATAAAAATTTGATTTGTAACTGTAATTAAATGACTTTAGCTTAATGCTGATAGTATCAAGCTCTTTGGTGCTTTCTGACCTGCAACTTAAGGTCTATAAAAAGCTTAATTATAATATTGTCAACAAAATTAGAGGGAAGTAGTTTTTTGACTGTAGTAATTTTAGTTTTGTTGCAAGTTGGCCATTCTACTCGTTAAAACACAACACACCATTGTATGCTGGAGTGAGCTATTTTAGACAACTTCTTATTGTTTTATTCCAACGAAATCACAAATATGATGTTAAAATTGCTCATTGTGGTATACTTTTAGTGTCCTTTTTGTTGGGAAATCCTGTATGGATACGGGATTCACACACAGGAGCAAAAACACAGCAACATGAATATAAAACAAAGCAAACAAAGAACACATATTTTATGTGGTTCAGTCAGAAGTGACTTGCTCCTTGGCAGAACTAGCGAGTCAATCTTATTTAATTTCTGCTTAGGGTTTTACAATTACAATGAGATGGATTTATAGGAGAACAGGCCAAATGCTCTCATCTGGGCCTGGGCTTTGGCCATAAAACGGATTTTTCTTCCAAGGGACCCACAACTCTGCAAGGGTGCCATCTCCTTTGACTAGACCACCACTGAGGCAACATCAGACTCCACACTCGGTTTTTTTTAACGTATTTAAGCAATAACAAAACTATGAATATGATGTCTAGAATAGGTCGGATCTGTAGATAAGTGAGGAAGCGAGCTAGAGCTATAGGGTGGGGATGGGATTAGTGAGTCTTTAGTTGGATAGATTTCTAGATTAGGGTAGCAGAAGAGGATTTTTTGTAGCTACTTGGTACCTATTAGGTTTCTGTAGTCTATGATGAACTCAATTGATTTATTATTGTTATCATTTTGAATTTTTATTGATATCTGAAAGCTAGAACATCACTATACATATGTGGCTAGAGAGAACTATCTAATCCTGCTAGAGTTTATAAGGGTTCGTTTGGTTTGCGGGATTTGGAATCGGATTCATTCCAACCCCGTGTTTGGTTTAAACTTTAAAGGAATGTCCGGAATTGAAATCTTGGGATTTAGAAATTCTGTGGGTGTAGTTGGTATTTCGTGAGATTTGTTTATAATAATGTCTTAAAATATGTTAAAAACACTTGTCTTGTAAGAATCAATTTGTATAAAGGTAATTTAATTATTTTTATGATTTTTATATTTTGGTTTTTACAAGTTATTTGTAAATAATGGAATTCAATTCCATTCCAAATCCTACAAAACAAACACACCAAAGATTCCAAATACTTCTAATTCCAAATTCTTCCACGAAATCCAAATCCCTCAAGAACATTCGATCAAATCAAATGGGCCCTAAGTGTCTTGACTTTTCAAACCATATGTCAACGCCTTATGCAAGCAAACAATAGGTCTTGCAAAAATACGAAATGAACACTTCCGTTTGCAGCAATAAGTGACTTTATACAAGCTGCCAAGTATGGTAATTGTGGTCTTGTGCATTTATATTTTCGCAGTTCATAAAAAATTATCCATTCTTATGAAGTTAATGTTTCTCTTTTCTTACGGGTTTGATTAAGAATGGTGGTTTGGTTGCAACAAAATGCTATACTCTGGATCTAAATTTGTCGGCTGTGGATTGAACTCACCAGAAAAGAAATCCCAGTGGCATTCGAGAGGTCATGGACTCTCCCAGAGCAAAAGCTCAAGTTACAATCTCAGTAAACAAAACAGAATCCTCGCCAAAGTCTCCCTTTCCCAACCAAAAAGACACCCGATTCTTATTCAAAGGAAATACCAGAAGTACCCCCGTATTTTTTAATTATTCAAACAAAAAGACTAACCCCCAAAACCCCAACTACCGAACATTACTTTGACCTCCTCCTATAGGTAAAGCGCAACGGGGATTTACCACAAAAAACCAAGAATGATGTTTGAAAAAGTTTCACTTTGAAGTGGAAGAAATGTTAAATTACAATGACCTCTTGAACTTATGGATGTTTTCTTTGTTGTTTATCTGTCTGTTTTGCTGCTTGCTTCTAACTTATTTTGAAATTTTAGCTTTGCTTTTCTTATTTTCCAGTTCTTATGTTCTTTCTCCGCAATTTTTTTGCAAGTTGTCCTTTCTTTTTGCACACTTTGCACAAGCGGGGGGTCTTCACGGAAACAACCGATCTACCCTAGGGGTAGAGGTCGAGTCTGCCTACAATTTACCCCCAGACCCCACTTCGGGTTGGGATATATTGGGTTTGTTTGTTCTTATTGAACTTATGGATCTAAAAACTAAAGACAATTATTTGGGTGAGCAGGCCACTTTTTAGGAGTTGCAGCGTCATGGCTTGTTCAAGTTGGAATGGAATGTTACCGCTTTGTTCGTGAATACTCAAAATCTTGTGACGACGAGATTGATGACACTGATAACAAGGACCGACAAGTTAAAATTCTTGGGAAGAAGGTGTATGGTGTTACTGTTAGATGTGGTGCATCACTAGTTTGCGCGTCGATAGGAGCTGGGATTGGTGCAACCCTTTTCCGCCCATCATCTGGTCAATCAGTTGGTAAGCATCACACATTAGACTCGTGATTTCTTTCTCTTTATTTCGTATTTGTTTCCTTTCCGTTAAACTTTCAGAACAATTTTCCCATAAAATCATTTGATCAAAACCTTTTTTACAAACTCAACTCTTTCGGGCCGAGGTAAGAGCATCTCTATCAGATTGTCTATAATTTTTTCAAAACGGAGGAGCAAAAGTTATAATATCTAAAAATAATTACATTCAATTCTAACAGTTTCTCTAAATAATTTTTTATTCCCCTCTAAATACTTTATCCTTTTTGAAGAATATGTTGGAATAAACAAACCCTAAAGTCTTCATTTTCTCCGTTTTGGAGAGAGTCTGTTAGAGATGCTACCCTTACCAGCCTTGCTATGTGTGGGATTTAATGGGTTTGTCTGGTCTGGTCTGGTTTTAGAGCGGTGATTTCTGATGGTCATTGTTGCATTGTTTTACAGGGTGTTTGATTGGGGATTTGGCGGGACCCGTGATTGTATCGTTTTGTTTTGTGAATGTTCCTAATTTGGAACTTTAGAGCATTCATTCATTCTGAATACCATGGTTTTGGTTTTTGTTGTTAAAAGTTAAAAACTTGTTGGAAAAAGAATGTTGTAACAAAGGTTGTGGTTATAACATTGTACTGGTGAGAGATCATATATTTGCAACCAACAGTTGCAATCACTAATGAATCCAATGCAACCTTCCAAATAACACTTGCTGTTTTAACTTGTTCACAAATGCATGCCCTTTTTTTTCATTTTCCATTTGCTATTATTCCTGAAAACTGCATTTTCTATGACAAGTATGAGAAATGTGACCACATAAAAATTCATATAATATATGTGAATGTGACGGTATCATTATACTGTATGAAGCGTGTGGAGGTGACTGCCTTCGTAAAATCAGAAGATCGGGAAGGTACATGTTTAGGTGCTATAACCTTCGTCATCTTCATAAAATATGACATAACCTTTACATAGTATGAGGGTATCTTCGTCACTTCACACCAAAAATCTTTTCTCTCACTTGATTCCAAATCATTATATAGTACGTACCTAGAATTATATTACATATACGTAAATGTTTCATAAGGGAGTGTTTGGTAAGATATATTAAACAGTAATTAATGTGAATGAAAATAAAAGAAACTGTTTGTCTTTTTTATAATATAATGGGTCCACTCTTTTGAAAACCCAAATTTTCGTTCCAAGTTAAACCGAGGGGGATGAAAATTCATTCCTATTTTCATTTTCTGTCATTTTCATTTTCATATCTTTTTTCGTTCTTCTGTCCGAACCAAACGCCCCCCCTAAGGCTATTGAAGCATTGATAACAATTTATTAGCTAAAAGCATTTCTACTTATTAATATTGTCCTCACGGATTGAGAGTAAGGTAGGTGGTTGAGAAATGTGAAAGGTTTTAAGGTTTTAATTTGATATTGTTAATTTAGTAATTTACTAATCTTTGTCCTATCATCTTTATTTTTGTTCTGGGATAGGCTACATGCACACCTATTATTTGTTACACACACACACACACATACACACCTACTTTTCAATATCATCCTTATACATTAACATCAAGACACATTTTTTATACGTATGATTTTTGACCTGATTTTGTTCCACCTATTTTGGTGTGACAGGAAAAAAAAAATGCTATTTGTTCCACTCAGTTATATCCGATCCCAGTTTAATTGTCACACCAAACGTGAGAAAACAAGTTTTTGTCCATTCCTGTCCTGTTCTGTCTTGTCCCAAATGCACGCTAAAACTGACATGTAAGGTTCTATATGTGTTCAGCTCTATATAATAATTAAGATGGTGTATGACAACATCATTTGTTTTAGTTCAAATGCATGTTGCTAATCCAAGATTCATGCTTAACTAAAACAAGGTTGTTATTTAGAACCATGATCTTACTTGACGTATAGCTAATAGCAAACTATAAGGGTAGTGCCTGATTGGTTTGAGTTTGGACTCCAAAGGTCAAAAGCGCCTGGAGGTGTCAGGTTCAAATTCAAAAAGAGGAATAATAATCCCCTTGTGGCCATGAAGATTCAAATGCGGTGACTCCAGGCTACCCGCAAAACAGATGGTTGCTCTAAAATTAGTCAGCTCGCTTAAAGGTTTGGATATCCACGTTAAAAAAAAAGAATCTAATAACATGTATCTAATACTTCCATTATGAATGGTTGTAGATTGTTTATGATGATAGGAACCAGACGTTTGAATCCAATGAATATGGTATTAATTTATTTTTAACATTGATTTCTAATTGTTATTGTATTTAGTAAGTTTCTTTAAGTATATAATATTTATATACGACAAATGCAACAAATAAACTCATACATTCTCCTCACCTTTAGTAAGGTTTGAACCCAAAGAGGTCAAAGACTACGATACCATTAGACCAAATGTCATTTGGTGTATTTAATAAGTTTTGTAATTAAAAAAATTATTAATTAAAAAAGAAATATAAATATAACTTAACCTTTACATAGTATGAGGGTTTTTTCGTCATTTCACACCAAAAATCTTTTCTCTCATCTGATTCCAAATCGTTATATAGTACATACCTAGGATTACATTACATATATGTAAATGTTTTATAAGGGAGTGTTTGATAAGAGGTATTAAACAGTAATTAATGAGAATGAAAATAAAAGAAACTGATTGTTTTTTTATATAATATAATGGGTCCACTATTCTGAAAACCCAAATTTTCATTCCAAGTTAAACCGAAAGAAATGAAAATTCATTCCTATTTTCATTTTCTGTCATTTTCATTTTCATTCCTTTGCCTGAACCAAACGGCCCCAAAGGCTATTGAAGCATTGATAATAATTTATTGAGTAAATTATGATTTCGTCCATGTGGTTTAAAAATTGTGATTTTAGTCTCTATGGTTTGTAATTTATTGCTATTTTCGTCCCTGAACTAATTCCAACATTTAAGTACAAAGGACCAAAACAGTAAAAAATTGTAAACCACAAGGATCAAAACAACAATTTTAAATTATAAGAACGAAAATAACAATGAATTACAAACCATCGAGACGAGAACCACAAATACGAAAATCATAATTTTTGACAAACCACAGAACAAAAAAAAGGCAACTTACTCTAATTTGTTAGTTAGGAAACGTTCAAACGAGAACGGTAAATATTTAGAAAACTTGGAACCAACTATTTTATAAATTATTCACGATGAATAACCATCTTGAAAATTTTATGAATATTTGATTCTTAGGTTTTCTTTTTGAAAATATATAATATTTATATACGACAAATGCAACAAATAAACTCACACATCCTCCTCACCTTTAGTAAGGTTTGAACACTTGATTAGGAGATTAAAGGCTACGATACCGCTAGACTAAAGGCCCTTTGGTATATTTAATAAGTTTTGTAATGAAAAGAATTAATAATTAGAAAGGAAATATAAAATAAAATGTATATGAACTTAAAAACAAAATAAACTACAACACTGATTAAGAATATATTATATATAACGGTAAATACAACAAACTTAAAAGGATTTACAATGAAACAAGAGCATACACCAAAATATATTATAACCTCAGTAATTAATTCTTCAGATCTGTTAAGTAAGGGGCCGTTTATCAAACATTACCTGGTAAATACTGATGATGCGTTTTTCATTCATGATTGGTCCATGGAAGGGAGGAATATTTATTTGCAACCAACGGTTACAATCACTAATGAATCCAATGCAACCTTCCAAGTAATACTTGCTGTTTTAACTTATTCACAAATGCATTCCTTTTTTTTTTTTTTTCATTTTCTATTTGCTATATCACTACTAGAAAACCATGTATCAGCGACGAATATCACCATGGGAAAAAAACCCTCGCAAATCAGTGAGGGATCAGCGAGGGAATCTGTTTTTCGCCATTAATTTTTAATTATTGATTATTAAATTTTCAATTATTTATTATTTATTAGAATATTACAAAAGTTAACTAATAAAACCGAATAAAGCCCATTAGGCCTAATAAAACCGAATAAAGCCCAATAAGGTCCATTAAACCGAATAAAGTCCAATAAAACTAAATAAAACTCAATAAATTCCGGTAAATGGATTAAAGCCCATAAAATCGAACAAACCCAATAAAATGGGTTAAGACCCAATAAAACCGAATAAAGGCATTAGGCCCAATAAAACCGAATAAAGTCCAATAAAATGGATTAAGACCCAATAAAACCAAACAAGTATACATACAATACCTACATATAAAAATGCGTACAGATAAAACATAAAAAACAAAAAAATAAGAAAATATTATATGTAACGGTAAATACTACAAACTTAAAAGGATTTACAATGAAACAAGAGCATACAACAAAATATATATAACCTCTGTAATTAACTCTTCAGATCCGTTGAGTAAGTCTGTGAATTTTTATTTATATCTTTAATATAAACAGTTAGCGCTGAAGATCGTGGTTCGATCATATACTAGTTTTAGTTTCGTTTTCGTTTTCATTTGTTGGGAGTCACCATTTTTGAGCGCAACATCATTATTCATTCGTAGAGAAGCTTGCAAACCCGCAATTTCATCCATGGATACCGGTATGCTTCTGTTTCTTTTCTTCTTTAGTGCAATCATGATGTACACAAGTTAGTAAACGAATAGATGTACACAATTAAGTTGGAAATTCTGATATCTGACATAAATTCAGTAAAATTTAATCGAGTTTGATATAGAAGCTAGCTAGCTTTGAAATATTGTTTTTCAGGGCATGACTTAGAAAATGGTGTTCACCAAACTTCATCGAACCAGATTGAGAAAACCAAACGTCATCAGATCTCCCAATTCGCTTTTGAATTCCGGGATGTAATCACTTACTTTTGCACCTACATGGTTATGGGTACGATATGCTTTTATCACTTCAGACACCATATATCTGGAAAGAAAACGAACAGTATCCTCGATGCTTTTTATTTCACTGCCGCTTTAGCGACTTCTATCGGGTATGGAGACCTTACTCCTGATACCAATCTTGTAAAGCTACTTGTCTCCCTCTTTGGCCTCTTGGGTATGCTTCTTTTTGGTCTCATGGTGAATATGGTTATAGAGATTGTATTCAAGCCAGATGAATATGATGCAAACCAACAAACACAAGATGAATCCAACTCAGTTAAAGAAACTTGTAAGGCAGCATTGATGTTGTTTGCGTTGCATATGGGCGGTGGGACGTTTCTATTGCATTTTCTTGAACGTATGGACTATATTAAGGCGTTCTTTTGTGTCACATCAACAATTACACGCATAGATAGCCATGGTTGCTTCATAATGAAAGGGGGACGCGTATTTTCGCTATTTTGGATGGTAAGTGGTACCATTTTTATAGGTCATTTGCTCTTATCTTTCATGGAGCTAAACGCTCAAGAAACACGAATGTCATTGGCGAAACTGTTTCTTGAAAGAAGGATGACTCGTGCAGACTTCAAGGCAGCTGATACAGTGTAAGTACAATTAATTATTTAACAATCAAACATTTATTAGGACCTTTACAGTAGTTTTTAGGCATCTCTCTGCAATAAAATCGGGTTTAATGGACAATTATTAGGTGTTATAGTAGACCCTGTTTTATAGAACTTAAATTTATAGGATCAAACTATAAAAA